TTCTCTCTAAAATAATTTTTTTTAATTTTTTTAATGTTTATTCATTTTTGAGAGACAGAAAGAGAGACAGAGTGTTAGTGGGGAAGGGGCAGTGAACTAGGGAGACACAGAATCTGAAGCAGGCTCCAGGCTCCCAGCTCTCCGCACAGAGCCCAAAGCAGGGCTCGAACTCACGAACCATGAGATCACGACCTGAGCCAAAGTTGGACCCTTAACCAACTGAGCCACCCAGGAGCCCCTCTCTCTAAAACTAATTTTTAAAAAATCTTATTAAGGAGGAAAAAGGTGCCACATCACTTGGGGGTAGCTAGCTGCCTGAAGCAGAAAGTCAAGGAACTGCCAACATCCCCACATCAGGCCCCCACCATCATTTTATGTCCTACTGAAGAGGAAAATATACTGCCAATAAAATGGTCATAAGCACCCCCATTTCCGAAATATTAAAGATGGGCAACAGCGTGGGTCATGGACTCAGTGAGGTATGGCTTGCTATACACACCAGGAGACATTCACTAGAATATTCACAGCAGTCGGTCTGTAACAGCCCCAACCCAGAAACAATGCAGTAGCCACGGACAGAGGCAGGTAAACAAAGGGCGGCCACTCACACAGTAAATACCACACAGCAGTGCAGAGGAGAGAACCACAGCTACACACGGCAACAGAGGGGATGCTCAGATGTTGTGTGGTACAGAAGAAGCCACACACAAGAGAACACAAGGCACGATTTTGTTCCCCCAAGTTCAAAACCAGAGTCTAAAGAATAGGAATATTCTCATTGGTGGTACGACTATAAAAGGCAAGGAGAAATGATCACAAAGATGAGATAATGGTTGATTCCATCTGGAGGAGCGAGGGGGTTGCGACTGGGATGGGCTCTGGGGAGGCTGGCAACATTGTATTTCTTGGCCTGGATGGTTCGTTTTTAAAACGTTTGTATTGAACTAGAACATACACACATACAAGGGTACACATAGGTCGATAATTTTCACAAACCAACACACGCCTGCAGACCAGCACCCAGATCCAGAAATAAAACATTTCCAACATCCCAGAAGCCACGCCCACACCCCCCCCCCCAACCAACTCCCTGTGTAGTGGCGTCTCGAGGGCAACCACCACCTTCTAAAGGTACAGATTGGTTTGGGCTGTTTATGTGCTTTACGTAAATGGAATCGTGAAGGATGTATTCCGATGTTCGCTTCTTAATTGCTCTTCCGACGTTTTATGTACTTTTCTAGATGCACAAATCTCAAAAAATTGCAAAGCTGCCAGCTGACCTCAGTGCTTGGGCAATCCCAAAATACGGGCTTAAAGAGAATACAGAGACACAGCTCATGAGAATAATAACGGCTAACATTTGTCAAGAACCATGCCCAAGATCTGATGTGCAACAAGCTCTCTACTCCTTACAACATCCTAGGATGTAAGGAACTGTTAGTATCTCCATTTTATAGGTGAGAAAACCCAGGCGCTGCTGGACTTCATGACACAAGTTCTTTAAGGCTAGACCATGCTGTCCGGAGGCCAACACACAGAGCGGAGAGGCCCTGGCCCCGCCTCCACGTTCCTCAGGGTACAGCTGTTCCTGCCAGTGACCTGGCCCTCCCTCCCCCACCTCGTCTCCCCTCACCAAGGTCATACCTCAAAAAGGACAGTGGGGAGAGGGAGCCCAGAGAGAAGACCACAGACTCACCCATAGTCACTGAGACCATTGTCTCCCTGGCCCTGGTGCTGCTCCCGGGAGCCTGGAAGACAGAACGAGGGGAGAAGGGCCCATGAGTCGCCACAGGCTGTGAGTGTACGTACGTCCCTCCCTTGCTGCCTGTCGGTCTGCCTGCCAGAGAAGCGTTCCTGGGCTGGGGGCTCACAGCCCAGGAATAGCCTGGAACAGCTGGCAGGAAGTCAGCCTGGGATAGAGCTGCCACCACAACTATCACTGCTGCCTGGGACAAGGCCCAGGGACGGCAAATGTACGCAGCTCTGTTCCCACACACCTCAAAAGTTTCTGGCTGGAATGAGCAAGGAAAAGAAAGAAAAAGAAAACAAAAGACACCCCTGCTCAAGACTTTAACCGTAAATGCCCACTAGTCAGCCGTTCCCAAACTGCTTCCTGACAACCTACTCTGCGTGTGGCACTATTCTAGGAGCTAAGGATACGGAGGGGAACAAAAGCACAGAGTGTGGCATCTAGGTGGAGACTGGGGAGAGGGGAAGACAGAGAAGTAAACAGGCAGAACAGATAAGGATACGGTGAGTCAGAAAGCCTTTGGTGTCATGGAGAAAACCTGGAGGACCAGGAAGGGAGGGGCTGCAATTCTAAACAGGGGGAACAAGGGAGACCGTTCTACAGTGACATTCAGAGACCCGAAGAAGGTGGAGGAGCGAGCCACGCGGTTTTGTAGAGGAAGAGTGTTCCGGGAAGAGGGACAGCAAGTCCAGTGCCCTGAGGCAGGAGCCCATCTGGCATGTGAGGGGGACCGCACACACGGAGCCGTTGAGACTGCGCTGCAGTGAGTGAGCGGAGGGGAGGAGAGGAGGGGGAGCTGAGCGCAGACAGGTGGCCCACCGCCTCACGAGGGGCCTCGGAGGAGAAATGGGAAACCAGTGTCCACTTAGGTAAGACTGCCGGTGCCCGGAAGCTGTTAAAGACATACCAGCACCAACGGAGGAGACTTTCCCCTGAACATGAAGAGCAGGGCTGAAAGGAAACTAAAAGGGAAAAACTTCCTTGCCTGATGGGTCCACATCATCGGTCTCCAGGACCACTCGTCCCACGCTGCCCGGGCCCAAACCTCCCACTCAGCCCTCCTGTCCTTCTCCAGCCCTGCCCTCTCCTCCAGCCCCTCTGCCCTCTTCTACCCACCTCAGCCCCCGATTCTGATCCTTCTCCCTCACCCCTTCTCGGCGTCCTCCACAGTCTGCCCCTCCCTGTCCCCATTTTGACGGTACAGGAGAGACAGCAGAAGAGTAAGGGCCCTGGAACCAGACTGCAGGGTTCAAATCTGGCTCGACCACATGCTAGCTGTGTGGTCTTAACAGGTTACTTCACTAGTCAACCTGGCGTCTTCATCTGTAAATAGGGACAGGAACGGTCCAGATGGTACTACCCTTGAAGGGCTGCTGTAAGGCCAGGCGAGTTTCTATGCACGGGGCACCTGCGGCAGTGCCTGCACATTCCAACTCGTCTAGAAGCAGCGGCTGTTCTTATCTCCCAGGGATCCCACCTTAGCCTGTCCTCTAACACCCAAGGGCTTTGCCTGCCCCCCTGGTTTTCCCACAGCAGGTCACCTGGGCCCAGAATGCTTTCTTATCCTGTCCTCCTGGCAAGCTCTCCTTCACTCTGCTTGCCTGGCCACCTGCTTTGTGAAGCTCTCCTGAAGTCACCAGATGTGAGACTCTCTCCTCTACCTCCAGCGGGGGTTCATCCTGACCACCTCTGGCTTTGGTTGCATGTCTTATTGATGAACGTGACCACAGACATCACTCTGCCCCGTACCTGACTCCTAAGATCTACTTTCCCCTCTGGATTTTGCCACTGGCCAAAGACCGCACAACCAGCATCTCTCAAAGAGCAGGGCATGGCAAGGGTTCGATATGTCAGACAGGAAAACAAATCTCACGTACTGAGCACTGACCATGCACCAGGACCGGAGCCAGGCATCGTGTCGACACCTCACAACCTCCTCATGACTGAGCACTATTATTAGCCCCATCTTAATCGATGAAAAAAAACCGACTCGTCGAGGTATAGTCATTTACCAAATGCCACATCTAGCAAGTGACTTTACTGGGATTTGAAAACAAGTTCTCCCGGATTCCAGGGCCCATTCAGTAGCTCTTGTTGAATGTTTCCTCGGCAGGCACTGAATATACACAGCTCAGTGTCTCCCCACAACCACCTGGGGAACAAAGTTAAAATGATCCCCATGTTTGTTTGTTTGAATGTTTTTTATTTTTGAGAGAGAGAGAGAGAGAGAGAGAGCGCGCAAGCAGTGGAGGGGCAGAGAGGGGGAGAGAGAATCCCAAGCAGGCTCCATACCATCAGCGCAGAGCCCGACGCGGGGCTCGAACCCATGAACCACGAGATCATGACCTGAGCTGAAATCTGGAATCGGACGCTTACCCCACTGAGCCACCCAGGCGCCCCTAAAACGATCCCCACATTACAAACGAGAGTGGCAGGTCCGGGATCACACAGCAAATAACTATAAGCCAGGACTTGAACCCAAGTCAGTCCAATGACTATGATTTAACACTGGTTGAGCGATTACTACAAGCCAGGCACTGTGGTCAGTCTTGGCAAGGTTCCAGTTAATGCTTACCAGAAGCCTTTGAGTACTGGTATCCTCTCCCTACAGCTGCAGAGGTCACCCTGCTGGACTCAATTGCCTCTCTCCTTCATTAAAAGCCCATCTCCAGCGCTGACTTTCTGAACAGTGAAAATTGGAACGTTAATAATAGAAAATGACAATTCCCCAAACTCAAGAAATTACCATGTATCAGACTCCCTTGCTAAGCCCTTTTTTAAAAGGCTTGGACCTAAATCCTTTTACCACTTCTGAACCCTGACCCTGGGGCAAGTGGCTGAACCTTTCTGGATCTCACTTCCCCTCAACTCTAAAACAAGAAGGATAGGAGTATCTATTCTTACAGTGGTTAGAAGGATGAAGCAAGTTCATAAACACCAAGTGCTTACAACAATGCTTGGCAGGAGATAAGTGCTATGTACATACGCGTTAAATAAACGCACCTTCGGTGAGCTAGAGAAAGGGTAGGACAGTCACTGACTTTTGTCAGTCCCGTGCCAAATGCGAGTGAAGAACAGAGTATAACTTGATAGGGTCCGTGGCATTGTGGAATCGCAAAGCACAGGTTATTTCAATCTCTTTCAGCTTCTGTCTACAATTTAATAGACTGTTCTACTTCCGCTGCATTTTAGGTTAAGTTTTCCTTCTTTTCACAGCCAGCAATGCTGGTTTTCCATTAGTACAGCAATGCAAAATGTCCATCTCAAGTGAACTGACTGGAGGAAAATGCATTAGTGGTTTTAAAAAAAAAGAAAAACTTAAATCTAGGAGATCCAGCAAAATTGGTCAAATAGGAAGTGGCAGGACGTCGATTTGCCCAATTCCAGATTCCAGTTTTTCCTATTGCTGTCTCTGGGCTTCCTCCAACCCTTTACTCCCTTGCAAGTCCCAGCTACACCGGTAACTCTCAGAGTCATTATTATCATAGTCCCGATACATGGAGCTCTTACTCAATACTGTACGAAGCCCTGTGTTAAGGGATTCACATGCACATTTCATTAGCATCCTCACAACGACTCTATGATATTGGTACTATTAGCCCTCGTTCTGCAGATAAGGAAAATGAGGTTCAGAGAGGTTAAGGCACAGGCTCACTGCCACAAAGCTGAGCTGGGACTTGAACCGAAATCTGCCGGCCTCCAATTTCATGCCCCCACACCCAGATCTTCCATGCCAAGCGCAAACATTTTCATCAGTACAGTACTAACAAAAGTATAGTACGAAGTGTGCAGTGTGCTAGGCGCTGAACTAGGGTCTCCAACATGCACGAGCTGAGCTCTCACTCCAACCCAGAGGGAGGATGCTATGCCAGATTCCGGCCCCCATTCTACAGAGGAGGAAACTGAGGTTCAGAGAAAGAAGTCGTTTGTCCGGGCCGCACAGCGACGCCGAGAATGACTCCAGAACCAGAACGCCATCCATCCCTTCCGCATCCGGCCCAGTCCCACCACCCATGGCCCGCGCCTCACCTGACCCTCCTTGCCCGCGCCCACTCGCGCCGCCCGCCCTCCCTCCCCGGCGGCGCCCACTGTCAGACCCTCCTCCCTCGGCCCGGCTGCCCGCCCCGGAAGCACCGCCCCCATCGCCGGAAGCCGGACCGACCGACCGCGGCCGCTCTAGCCCACCGGGCCGCCACCAGCGAGAGTGTGGCCGCAACCGTCACGTGACCTCCCATGGTCTCCCAGGCGCTTCGCTCCGCCCCGCTCTAGCGAGGAGCGCAGCCAATGAGAAAGGCACATGCCTAGCCCCCGCTAGCCCGCAGTCTTGCCGGAGTGCGCCTGTGCGAGGCGGGGGTGGCCGGGCGGGGCTCCAGCCGGCAAGGTGCGTGCGGGGTTGGGTCCCGGAGTGGGAGACGCGGAGTGCAGGTACTGTGCGATCTGGGGGCGCGGCGCCTCTGTTAGCCTTTTCATGTTGCCCTTCCCGCCGTAATTCATTTCTTCCCTTTTGTCATCCAGTGCCCCTTTATGTAGCCATTCCTCCCCTTGTGTCGCGCCCCGGTTAAATCGTCACCACCCCGCTTCTGTCGGCGTCACCCTCCTTATGTCGCTGTCAGCCGCCTTAATTCGCTTTCGTTCTAAGTCCCTATTGCCACCCTACGTTGCAGTCTTCCCCCTTTAAGTCACCATTGCTTTCCGTCACCTGCTCTCTTCTTTTGTTGCTATTTTTCTTTTATGAAGTCCTCACTGAAGTCGTCATCATACCCCCATGTCACCTTCACACGCCTCCTGTCACCATCTCCTTAAATCGCAGTCACCCTTCCCTTGTGTCATTTTCATTCCATTCCTCCCATGTCACCTTTGCTTCCTAACAGTCACCGTCCATGCCTCATGCTTCTAGTTTTCCCGATAAGGAGCCACTCTGCCTTCCAGTTGTTTCTCTTGCCTCCGTGTTGCCGTCATTTCTCCGTGTCACCTCTCACATACTCACCACCG